ACTCCTCATCCCGCTTCGGCCAGAGGCCCGAGTGAGCTGTAGAGCTGGGCCCGATGGCCACGAACCAGAAATCCGTGCTCAGAGCAACCAGGGCAGAGGCCAGGGCCAGGGAGCCGGCCAGCAGGGCCAGGGACCGACAGGGCTCCATGGGGGTGAGTTCTGGGTTCCTGGGTCTTTGAGAGAAGAGGTTGTGGACCCGGACTCCTGGGTCCTCTGAGCCCCCCAAAAAAGCAAAGAAGCCAGCAAGCAGTTGAGGCAACTCGGGAGGCTTTGGACTCCTTAAGACCAGACTGGTTCTGTTTCACCCATTTCAGTTCCTGGCAATGGATTTTCACACACCCTCCCTTCCTGGGTTGTACCGATGAGGTCTCCCCTCCCCGAGGTCCTGGTCCCCCACTCACAGTGTGTGGTGGGGCAGGGTGTCATCGGTGGTTTGGTCAGTGGTTCAGAACCTGCCTCGCTGTCGCAGGTTTGTCTTCACAACAGAGGTCCTCTTCGGGGCCATTCCAGCTCCACAGGGTCAAGTTTGCCTGAGCCTTCTCCCTGGGCTGTGGCACCTTCACCTTCTACCTGCTCACAGGTGAGGTGCAGCCCAGGGCCTGATACTGGTGTGGAAGGAAGATGCTTGAAGGGCCGGAGGGCCCCGCACTGACATCCCTGGGCCCCTGGCAGGTACCATGACCCTCATGATCAAGCCGGCCGTGCTCAGAGCAGAGCTGTGTGAACTCACACATCAGAGGAGGAGGTGGGCGTGTTTTACCCTCCACAGACTTTTACAGTCATGATTCTCTCCCTTCTGCCTGCCCTGAGCATACACTGCAAGCAGGGGCCCAGGAACCCGCCACCTGCACACCCACCTCTTCCTCCCTCAGGACCTGGTGTTCCAGGTCTCCAGCTCCTTTCTCCTTCAGCCCCAGGCATCATGGAGGCCTTAGAGTGGGGGCCCCGCCTCTCTCAGAACGGAAAGTTGCAGCACTCACAGGAAGACATGACACATCCCCCAACTGTCCCCTGTGGCCACATCCCTCCCCTCGTTGCACTCACACCTTGGTCTCATGCGCCAACCCCACCTCTGAACCCCCAAGCCTGTCATCTCTTCCGGGAAGCCCCCCCTCTGGTGTTGAGCAAGGCTCCGAGGGTGAGAGCTACAGAACCCGAGTCAGCAAGGCAGGTTCTGAACCACTGACCAAACCACCGATGACTCCCTGCCCCACCACACACTGTGAGTGGGGGACCAGGACCTCGGGGAGGGGAGACGTTATCAGTTCAACCCAGGAAGGGAGGGTGTGTGAGAATCCATTGCCAGGAACTGAAATGGGTGAAACAGAACCAGTCTGGTCCTAAGGAGCTCAGGGCCCCCCGAGTTGCCTCAACTGCTTGCTGGCTTCTTTGCTTTTTTGGGGGCTCAGAGGACCCAGGAGTCCGGGTCCACAGCCTCTTCTCTCAGAGACCCAGGAACCCAGCGCTCACCCCCATGGAGCCCTGTCGGTCCCTGGCCCTGCTGGCCGGCTCCCTGGCCCTGGTCTCTGCCCTGGTTGCTCTGAGCACGGATTTCTGGTTCGTGGCCATCGGGCCCAGCTCTACAGCTCACTCGGGCCTCTGGCCGAAGCGGGATGAGGAGTCAGTAGCAGGTAAGGGAGAGTGGTGTGTCTTGTCTGGGGGACAGGGGAGAAGAGCCAGAGGGGACAGGTCCTCAGCGGTCTCCTCTCTGAGCAGGCTTCATCCACGTGACGCAGACCTTCAGCATTCTGGCCATCCCGTGTGGCCTGGGGTCTGTGGGTCTCCTGATCCTGTCCTGCATCCCCTCACTGTCCGCCCCGGGCCGCGGCCTTCTGGTCTCATCCATCACAGCCTTTGTTGCAGGTAAGGAATGTGGACTGCCCGTGGGCCCTGGGGACTGTGAATTCCCACAGAGGGGCTGAGCAGTCTCCTTGTCTCTTGTTTCAGCCCTCTTCACGGTGGTGGCCATGGCCGTCTACACAGGTTATCGGTGGAGCCAACCTCGACACTCCCAGATCCAGTCCTCCTTCTCCTGGTCCTTCTACCTGGGCTGGGTTTCGGCTCTCCTCTGGTTCAGTGCAGGTGACTGTTGCCTCGGGAGTTGGGGAGGGCCCACTGGGGGCTCTGTGGGAGCAGGTGGGAGCGGGGACAAGTGCTAACTAAGCTTCCTCTGCCACCCCAGGTAGCCTGGGTCTGGTCGCTCATTCCCGTGCCCCTCCGCCTGGCTATGACGAAGTGTGAGCCCAACATGTGAGCCGAAGGTGAGGACAGCAAGTGGGTTGGAAAGCATCATCCATGCATCATCCGGAGCCATGGGATCACCTGGCCCTCCCTCTGCCCTCACCCCCCGCCCTTCCATAGCCCCATTGTTTGTTTATTCATTCTTTCAACAACGATTTGCTGCAGTCTGATTATTTTGAGATTAATTCAACCACGACACAAGCCGATGGCACGCCAGCTCCCCGGTGGGTGACACTGGGCACCCAGAAAAGAATCTGAAACCTCGACCTGCTCCCCAAGGGCTCCCACCCAGTGTGGATTCGGGCACTGCCCACATCCTCTCCCCACTTCTCTGGCCATTGTCTGTCGTCTGTTTCCATCTCTCCTCTTCGTCCCCCTTTCTCTGCTCTTCCCTATGCCTTTTTGGCTCCAGCACTTTCCTCCTCACTCCCTCTGGGCCCCTCACCTGCGCTCTAGTTCTCCTTGCTCATTTCAGTAATTCATTCATTCTCTCCTTCTGCTGGCTTTCCCCAAGCACATCCTTTCTGCTGGGCCTCGCTGGGGGCTGGGGACACTGACAGGAGTCAGATCCAGGTGATGCCCATGAGGGTGCGGGGGAGGGAGGGAGATGCAAGTCAGGTGGGGGAGGGGAGGTGACACAGGCCAGGGGACAGGCAGAGCCCAGGAAGGATGTGGGACAAAGGGTGATGGTGTGGTGGGGGGTGGAGGTGAGCTCTCTGGGGAGAGGGTGTTCAGGGACTTCTTGAGGGCCAGGGAAAGGGAATCCAGGAGGAAGGATGCCGAGACAGAGGCATGAAAAGGCTGGAGGTGGGCTGTGGGGTGGGAGGGAGGAAATGAGAATGGAGTGGTGGGTGGGAGCCAGGACCCCTAAAGCCACAGCTGACTTTCTCTCAAGGGGGCTGGGGAGCCGGGAGGTGAGCAGGGCCGGGGCAGTGTCAGCCCCCAGCGCCAGCAAGCCCTCTCTGAGGTCTCTGGAGAGGCCGAGAGGGAGAAAGGAGCTTGGCAATGCTACCAACAGGTAGGACATGAGTGAGGACGAGGGCTGACAGGGAACAGGGCATGAGGTGAAAAGGAGGGAGGTAGCCAGAAAGATTCAGGGAGCAGGAGGACCCTGCCTTGGGGATCCAAGGGCTTTGTGGGGTGAAGAGCAAGAAGGGGGCAAGGACAGTGCCAAGGAGTGAGAGGGTGGGGTCATTCCTGGTTTGGTGGAGGATGCTGAGCTCAGGCGGGAGGTGTTGAGTGCGGGGAGATGGCCAGGAGCAGGTGAGGGCTCCAGTCCAAGGTTCGGGAGAGAGACCAGGGCTAGCGATGGAGTCTGGGATGGCCTCAGAGCATTGTGGCCACTGAAGCTGGTAGAAGGTACAGGATGCAGGGAGCAGGAAGGGCAGGAGCCTGGGTGGGGGTCTGGGAGGCACAGTCAGATCTGGGGACCAGGAGTGCTTATGGGTCAAGGGAAGAGGATGTTGAGGAGGACGTGGTCTACCATGTCCTGGTCCCCAGGCTCCCTACAGACCTACCATCTGGCTTTGAGCTGCCCCTTTGCTGGGAGATGCCTGTGTGGATGGGTGGGTAGGTGGTTATCTCTTTAAATGGCTGCAGGGAGAGGGGGTTCTGGAACTCCTGCTGCCTCACAGAGCCTGACCCAGCCCCCCTTCCCCCACCCCCTCTGCACCCTGCTTCCAGGAAGCCCTGGGAGCTGGCTGTGAGTCACACAAGTGGGGGTGTGGGGGTGTGGTGTGGGGAGCGCACTGGACAGGCCAAAGGGAAGTTCCACTGGGTGATGGAGGTCTCTGGAAGGTAGGGGGGTTCCTGATCAGTGACTCCTGGGGGTACAGTCCCACCTTCCCAGGCAGGGGTGCTGGGGGAAGGCCTGCAGCATGGGGGGGTGGGGGGAACCTGAAGGAGGGCCCCTCCAGGTCCTCCCTCAGGGCTGGCAGAAGGGGGAAAACACGCCCACCTCCTCCTTTGATGTGTGAGTTCACACAGCTCAGCTCTGAGCATGGCCGGCTTGATCATGAGGGTCATGGTACCTGCCAGGGGCCCAGGGATGTCAGTGCACGGCCCTCCGGCCCTCCAAGAGTCTTCCTCCCACACCAGTATCGGGCCCTGGGCCTCACCTCACCTGTGAGCAGGTAGAAGGTGAAGGTGCCACAGCCCGGGGGAAGGCCCCGGCAAACTTGACCCTGTGGAGCTGGAATGGCCCTGAAGAGGACCTCTGTTGTGAAGACAAACGGAGCCCACAGTCCCAGGACAGCTGGAGAAGGGAGACCCCGGGACCCAGCAGGCTGGTCCTCCTCCTATATTGGAGTCTCCAGTTGGCAGGCCTCCATCCTTCACTCAAACCCTCGCCAGTAAGGTAACTGGCCATTCCCAAGAACCTGGCCACAAGGACAGGCTCTCAGAGCCAGATCCAGGTCATGAGCAGGAGGGAGAGCAGCGCAAAAATGGCCGTGGACATGGCTCCCGTGAGGAGCACTGGACAGGCTTCAGGAAGTCTGGGCCATGGGCGTGTGGTGTGGGGAAGGTCCGAGCACAGAGCCCAGCTGCAACCGTGACCCCATCCCCAACTCACCCCCATCCTAACCGCATCCCTATCACCCAGTCCAACCCCCTCCTCATTTGCAAACCTAACTCATTCTCAACCCCAGCTCCAACCCCAAACTCAACCCCACCCCAATTCCCAACCTAAACCCATGCTCGTGTCCAAACCCACCTCTGAGCCCAATCCCAGCTCAACCCAGTCCTAACCCTCTCTCTCAACCCCATGAATAATTTCAGCTCCAACCCAATTCCCCAAACCAGCTCTTAACCAATCCTGTCCCAACCCCAAACACAACCCATCTCTGAACCCCAGCTCCAATCCCTAACTTAACACCAGCCCTATCCCACAACCTAACCCCATTCTTATTGGCAAACCCAACCCCAAATGCACCCCATCCCCATCTACAAACCCAAACCCAAACCCATCCTCATCCTGAGACTTAACCCGATCCTCATTGCCATCCTCACACCAGACTGTTTCCAATCCCAGCTCCAGCCCCAGTCCCACACCCACTTCCTTCTTTATACTCCCCCCCCCAACCCCTATAAGTCCTACCTCAACTCCACCCCATTTCATGTTCATCCCATTTCCAAGTTCAAGGCTGTAACTGTTTCTCATCTCCCTAAGTCCCACCACTACCATTGACCAAAGAAAGGTTGACCTTGCCTGATCCTGGGAGGAACCTCCTGTCTGCTAAGTGTCTCTGTTTACCTGGAGTCCTTAGGCCACTCCAGATTGTTTATGCTATCAACGTGGTTAGGAGTGGGAGGGGTCTACTATATCCGTTTGACCCCTGGAGATGCTTGGAAACTGAATAACTAAGGCCAGCCATGGGGGTGCTTCTTGCCTGACCCCCCATGAGAACCCTTGACACCAGGGTTTGGTTGAGCTTCTTCTGTTGGCAGGACTCCGTGGGTGTCCTCACGCATCATGGTTGTGAGAAGTAAGTGCTGTCCGTACGACTCCACTGGGGGAGACAACTGGGACCTGGTGCCTGGTCTCACCTGGATGCCGCTCCTCGCTCTGCTGATGTTAAACTGTACCCTTTCGCTGTAATAAATTAACTGTGAGTGCAACTGTTTTCCTGAGCTCTGTGAGTCCTTCTAGCAACTCATTGAACCCAGGGGTGGTCTCGGGGACCCCTGAACTGTAGTGAGTGGAGGGGGATTAACTCAGAGAGTTAGCAGGGCCAGAACACGTGGCATTTTGAATGATCTGGATAGACTTTAGTTTTTTGTGTTGTTTTTTTTTACCTGAGATTGGAGCCACTGGAGGGCTTAGAGTGGGAGTGACATGATTTATTTTTTGTTGTCATCACCTGAGGATATTTTTTCCCATTGATTTTTAGAGAAAGTGGAAGGGAATGAGGAGAGAAGGAGGGAGAAACATCGATGTGAGATAGACACAGTGATTGTTTACCTCCTGCAATCCAGGTCCTTGCCCTTTAACAGGAATCGAACCCGCCACCCTTTGGTGTGCGAGCCAATGCTCTAGCCCCTGAGGAACACCGGCCAGGGCAGGAGTGACATGATTTTAACAAAGATTTCTCCAGATGCTGCATAGAAAATGAACTGTAGGTGGAGGAGGGCTGGCGGGGTAAAGGCTGAGCTCGTTAGGAGGGTGTGGCAATAAACCAGGTGACAGACGACGGGGCGGTGGCTTGCATTAGGGTGATCACTGGTGAAGCAAGAGTCAAATTCCCAAACACATTTTAAAGGTGGGACTGTGAATTCCTGCAGAGGGGCTGAGCAGTCTCCTTGTCTCTTGTTTCAGCCCTCTTCACGGTGGTGGCCATGGCCGTCTACACCGGTTATCGGTGGAGCCAACCTCGACAACTGGGTCCCCTGGGTCTCCACATTCCCTATAGCAGTGGTTCTCAAACTTCCTAATGCCGCGACCCATTAATGCAGTTCCTCATGTTGTGGTGACCCCCAACCATAAAGTTATTTTCGTTGCTACTTCATAACTGTAATGTTGCTACTGTTATGTAAATATCTGATATACAGGATGTATTTTCATTGTTACAAATTGAACATAATGAAAGCATAGTGATTCATCACAAAAACAATATGTAATTATA